TATTCTTGTGCTCTCTAGTGACTGGCAATGCTTGAACCTTACTTTCATTGGAATTGACTCAAAGAAGGAATAACATACATATTCACTTGGATATACCCTACAGGGTAAGATAGATTTCTATACCTAAGTGATTGTGTATGTTATTCCTTTTTTGAGCCAATTCCAGTGAAAGTAAGGTATAAACATTACCTGTCACCCCCCTCCCCATTTCCTCCTTCACTGTGAAAGCTCTTCCTTTAACAACTCTTTTATGTAAGATAATTTTCCTTGTCCTTCTGTCTTCCCCCTTCTCCCAGTGCATCTCTTTTCCTCACCCCTTAAATTTTTTTAAAATCATTCCATCATTCTCAACTCACACCCATGCCCTCTGTCTATGTATGCTTCTTCTAACTTGTATAATAATGATAAAGTTCTTAGGAGTTATAACTATCATCTTCCCATATAGAAATGTGAACAGTTTAACCTCATTTAATCCCTTATGATTTGATTTCTCTTTCCTGTTTACCTTATTATGCTTCTTTTGAGTCTTGCATTTGGAAGTTGAATTTTCTATTCTGCTCTGGTCTTTTCGTTAGAAATGTTTGAAAGTCCTCTATTTCATTAAATATCAGTTTTCTTCCCCTAAAGGATTATACTCAGTCTTGCTGGGTAGATTATTCTTGGTTGTAATCCTACCTCTTTTGCCTTTTGGAATGTTATGTTCCAAGCCCTCCATTCCTTTAATGTGGAAGTTGCTAAATCTTGTGTGATCTTATGGTATTCGAAGGGTTTCTTTCTGTCGACTTATTTTCTCCTTGATCTGGGTGCTCTGGAATTTGGGTATAATATTCCTGGGAGTTTTCATTTTGGGATTTCTTTCAGAAGGTGATCCGTGGATTCTTTCAGTTTCTATCTGACCCTCTGATACTACGTTATCAGCTCAGTTTTCCTTGATAATTTCTTGAAATATGATGTCTAGGCTCTATTCTTGATCATGGCTTTCAGGTGGTACAGTAATTTTTAAATTACCCCTCAATTTATTTTCCATATCACTTGTTTTTCCAATAATATATTTTATATTTTCTTCCTTTTCCTCCCATTCTTTTGACTTTCTTTTATTGTTTCTTGGTGTCCTGTGGAGTCATTAGCTTCCGCTTGCCCACTTCTAATTTTTAAGGAATTATTTTTCTTTAGTGAGCTTTTGTACCACTTTTCCCATTTAACCAATTCTACTTTTTTGTTTTTTGCTTTTTGGTGAGGCAACTGGGGTTAAGTGACTTGCCCAGGGTCACACAATTAGTAAGTATCAAGTGTTTGAGGCTGGATTTGAACTCAGGTCCTCCTGACTCCAAGGGCCAGAGCTCTATCTACTGCACCACCTAGCTGCCCCTGCAGTTCTACTTTTTAAGGAGTTCTTTTCTTCAGTGAATTTTTTTTACCTCTTTTTTTCCTTTCACCAGTTCTGCTTTTTAAAGAATTCTTCTCTTCAATAGATTTTCATGCCTCTTTTACTATTTGATCAATTCTGTTTTATAAGCATCAGTATTTTTTTGTTTTTTTAACCAAGCTATTAATTCTCTTTTCATAATTTTCTTGCATCACTCTCATATCTTTTCCCAATTTTTCCTGTACCTCTCTGATTTTTAAAATTTTTTGAGTTCTTCCAGGAATTCATGTTAGGCTTATTTCCAATTCAATTCCAATTCTTTTTTTTTTTTTTTTTGAGGCTTTGCTTGTGACTTTTATGTCATTTTTTTCTGATGTGTCTTGATCTTCCCTGTTATCAAAATAACTTTTTAGGGTCAGGTTCTTTTTTTTTGTTGTTGTTGTTCTTTGCTTAATTTTCCAATTTATTTCTTGACTTTTAACTTTATGTTAAAGTTAGACTCCTCTGGAGGGAGAAGACAGTTAGGGGTCACTGTCCTAAGCTTCAGGTTTTTCATGCTGTTGTTTTCAGAGCTATTTTGGGGAAATCTGTAAGTTTTCAATGCTTCCAAAGTGGTATGATCTAAGGAGAGATATGGTCATTGCTCTCCTGGACTGTGCTTTGAACTTTACCCAGGAAGGGACCTTTTTGCCTTTAGGCCACATGCGCTATCACTTCTATTGGCCCTGTGACTGTGACTCAGGCCTTTACTCTCCTGTGGCCACAAGTGCTAGTGCTCCTTTCTGTCTTGGAGCTGAGACCAGGCCCCCCTGCTCCCTAGTAAGTGACTATAAGCATTCTTCTCCATCTTAGAACTGTGATCAGTGCCCCCTGCTACCTTGTAGCTGCAAAGACTAGTGCTAACAGTGCAGCCTGACACTGTATGGGCAATACAACAAGGTCCTGAACCCAGCATCAGCAAGGGGTCCCCTGTAATCTTTCTGACCAGTTGTTTGACTTCCTTACTGTCTATGGACTGAGAGATCCTGAAGCTGATGCTGCCATTGATGCAGCTGCCTCCAAGGCCTTCTGTTGGCATTGCCCCGGTGCAGCCTGAGCTGTGCTCTGGGCCCAACCACCATCCTGGCGTGACAGACATTTCCTGCCAACCTCCTAAGTTGTCATAATCTAGAAAATTATTTCACTTTGAACTTTTGTTGGCTCTGCCATTCCAGAATTCTATTTAAGGTGTTACTTTAAAATTGTTTGGAGGGGAGTTTGGGTGAGTTCCTGCCTTTCCTCTACCATCTTGGCCCTTCATCCATTTTTTTAAAAGGACTTTTGGGTTGTATACTATATAAGGCCAAACCTTTAGTAAGTAGGTAATTTGTTTTTCAGTTCTTGAAGTAAGTTACATGGCTCTTGTATCCAAGTATAATTTCATTGCTAGAAAATAATGCCAATATTAATCCCTCTTTGTTGAAGGAATTAAGTAAGTAAATTAATTGCTTTTTAAGAATTTCTAGGCTTTATTCATTAGCTGCCACAAATAATATCTGCTTGAATCAGTGTGATGTTATTTTGCTAGAATGAATCCTTTGTTTCTATTTTCTTAATAATTTAAATCATTCCTTCAAAGACTGAGGCAGGAAAACCATTAGCATAACCAGGAAATTTTGTAACAGGTATTATCTTCAAAATAATCCAGTTTTCCCAGTTTTTTTTTCATTAAAAAAATCTCAGTTGGAATGATAGAAAGATAAGAAAAAATTCAGCATGTGTAAATGTGAAGTTCTACACTTAGGTTTTTCAGTTCGTTCATATATATAAGGAATCAGCTAGAGTCCCTCAACCAATTCTTTTTTATTGGGATTTAAAATTGAAGTTCAGTATATCATTCGCCATTAACAGGCACCTCATATTCTAAAACTTTAAGAACAGACAAAAATAATGAATAAAAAATTGAGGGTTTTAATTGACTATAAATTCGTTATGAGCTGAGATGATAATGGTCTCACTGTGTTTTGTCATAGACGAACCAAATCTGGAATACCTTGCTGATTTTTCTGTAACACATTTTAAGAGGGACACATATTAACAAACTAAAATGTACTTAGAGGAGGTTGATCAGGATGGAGAGGATTTGGAAATTATAGAAAATGAGAAACAATAGAGAAAACTGAGGATATTAAACCTGGACAAAAAATGTCTTAGGGAAAAGATGATCCTTGCCTTTGAATGTTTCAGAGGCTGTGGTGTCGAAGACAGACGAGACCATGTTTCTGCTTCCTACAGGACTGATGAGTTGAAGGTACAGGAAGGTAGCCTTTAGGTTCTCTTATTTCCTGGGTATATTACATCCAACTAGTGCTTTTCTTTCCCTTCTCCAGTCCATCCTTCATAATGCTACCTGTTTAATGTATTGATTGGGTAGTTCCTCTGCCTGAAAACCTTCAATGGCTCTCCACTGCTTATACCACATAAAGGACCAACTTCTTACCCTGGCGTTCATAGCTCTGCAGAATTTGATTCGAGGCTCTCTTCACAGATTTATTTCAGACTACTTCATATGCTTTGCACTTCAGCAAAACTAGACCTGCCCTTCAGGTATTATGGTGAATTCAGTCTCCTCTACCTGCTCCTATCATATCCCCATTTTTGAGTTCCCTTTTTAAGGCCCAGCTCATGTGACACTTGCTATGTAACCTTTCCCAATTCCCCTCACCCCAAAGCAGAAAAAAGTGATTTCTCTCTTCTCACATTAATTAAAGCTCTTTATACATCTTCTCTGTACTTACTGCATGTGCCCTGTATCCTAGTTGTTTGGGTCACCTATCTTATCCTCTTAGATTGAAAGCTCCTTTAGGTGAAACACTAAGTTATTTCATCTTCGTATGCTGAGTACCCATCATCATGAAGCCTTGTATCAAATGAGTCCTGAATGGGTTTTTAATGAAACGGTTGAATTGCAATACAGGAGGGAACATTCTAATTTATTAAAGCTCTCTGAAAATGCAAGAGGCTATCTTGAGGTGGCTTCCTTGAGGTAAACTCTCTTTCCCAGGTAATGTTCAGAGCGAGATTAGATAACCATTTACCAGGAATGCTATAGAGGTGGTTCCTGCCCTGGAGGGAGGTTGGAAATGCTGACTCTTAAAAATCCCTTCCAGAATAAGATTTTGTGATTCAGAGACTTAATGGTCTAGCAATTTCTGCCAAAGAGAGGACTGGTCATAACGAGGTCGACTTAATTCATTTTACTACATTGTAGATAATTTCGTCACTCTTTACTTTAAACTTCTTGTGATGAAAATTTTTTATTCATTATTTTTGTCTGTTCTTAAATCTTTGGAATATGGGGTTCCTGTTAATGGTGAATGATATACTGAACTTCAATTTTAAATCCCAATAAAAAAGAATTGGTTGAGGTACTCGAGTTGATTTCTTGCTTCCTAGGAAGGAAGTTGCAGGTAGTTTGTGTTTGTATATCTGTGCCATAAGCCCAGGAACTTAATCTTTTGCATGTTGGAAAGCCATTGTGTACCCAGGACTACCAAAGAGGATGCTGGCTGCAGAGACTGGATGAACGACGCCCAGTGGTCTGCATCTTCATTCTTTTTGGTTTCTTTTGAACACCTGCTCTCTTCTATTCCAGAGCACCAAAACTACTTTGGAATAGATGAAAATCTGGGCCCTGTTGCAGTAAGCATCCGGAGAGAGAAGCTTGAAGAAACTAAGGAAAAAGAAGGGTCCCAATTCAACTATCGGGTAGCTTTCAGGACCAGTGAGGTATTTCTGCTCTCCATTTATTATCCTTGGGGTGAGAGGTTTGTTTTTTTTTTTTTTTAAACAAAATGAAAAACAAAGATAAGAACCTCTTAGGCCTTTAACACAAAGGGAATTCTGGTGCTCTTGAATTTTAGTTCCTCTCTATTCTTAAATTATTCAAAGATTTTGTGCTTACACATGTCTCTGTTACACTATTCACCTATCTCACACAGTAGTTGAAAGGAATTATTTTAACAACTATTGCATGTGTATAACTCCGTGGGTGTTAAGGAACAATGATTTTGATTGCTGGCTTATGTGGTAGGACAGAACAAAAGGCAGAGGGATTTGGGACATGCTGAAGAGACAGGATATATGCAAAACCCAGATTAAGATGACTTTAAATCACAGCAGATGAAAATAGGTAGCCCACAATATGAAAACCATATTCTCAGAGGGTTTTGCCAGAGCAGTCATTCCAGTTATATATTTTTATGTAAGACCCCAAATAAGTCTCATGCTTTTAGTAATTCTTACTGAGATTACTATAGAAATAGTACCGTATAATAGTCTTAGAGTGGGTTTTGTTTGTATTTATTAATTATGTATTAGACCTGGTCCTTGCATTGGGTCCTATTTTCACAGGAGAATCTGAGATCTATTTAATTTAATTTAATTTTAAGGATGTGATTTTGGAACAGACTGAGCTAAATTTCAAAATCTAAATGTGAAATGGTTTTGTGGTGTTATTTCATAGTCACATGCAGCATTAGTACATGGACATGTTGCCACACTATATATTTTGGGTCCCCATTGTTCTAAGCCTTCCTATGTTCATAAGATAGAGCTTTTTTTAAAAGGACTCATATTATAAGTGACACGTATATTATTGAGAAACAGCATAGTTGAGAACTGGCCTTGGAACCGGGAAGACATGGGTTGAAGATATGGCCTTTGATCCCTATTGGCTTTTGGACCCTGGGCAAAATCCTTAACCTCTCTGTTCCCTAGGCAACTCTCTAAGGTGATGTTTCAGTAAAAGGGCCGACCTGCATTAGTAGATGAGGGCTGCTACCTCATCTGGAGTTCCCTGTGTCAGTGAGATCATATAAACCCATTCCCTGTCCTCTACATATTATTAGATTCGCAGGGCTATTTAGGGGTTTTAGGAGTCATCTAATGCAATCCTGTCATTTTACAAATGAAATTTAAGTAAAGAAAGTTTAGGTAACTTGTCCACAGTCACATAGCTAGTTTGTACCTGAGACAGGAAGTTGCAGTTCAGTTCTCCTGACTCCCAGTCTAGTACTCTTTCCATTATGTTGCATTATAACAAGACGATATATTCAGATTAGAGATTAGTTTAAAATACAGGTATTATTGTGTGTTTGAGATCAGATTTTATGAGATAGGTTTCACTAATCCCTTTAGCTCTGTGTGTAACCAGCTAGTAGGTGCCATTGGAAATCTCAAGCAGTCCTAAAACTAGGAAAGGATTCTGAGAAAATGAAGACGAGGGAGAAAGATAAAGGAGGGGGCATGCTTGGCAGTTGCCCCAGGTGCTTCAGGAATGGAAGCACAGAGCTGCGACTAGACCAGCTCTCCTCCACCTCCCTCTTCATCTCTCCTGCCTGCCACTACTGATTAGCCTGACTTATTCTCCTTGGACGTTTGCTATTGCTGTCTTAATGTGCTGTTTTGGTGGTTGGCTTTTCTCTTGTTATGGGGGGGTGCGGTGGGGAAAAGGAACTGGGAGATACTTTACACACTGTTGTCCCCTTCCAAATAATAACAGCCTTTCTCCTCCAACACTTTTGATGTGTATGTAAGACTAAAATATACTTTAAAAATGATGGCTGGCCAAGTGTTATTGCTATAAATATTCAATGAAGTCTCGCGCTTTCCCCCCCATAGCTTACAACGCTTCGAGGAGCAATTTTAGAAGATGCCATACCTTCCACCGCGAGACATGGCACAGCACGAGGGCTGCCTCTCAAAGAGGTTCTCGAGTATGTTATCCCTGAGCTGAGCATTCAGTGCCTACGGCAGGCTTTGAACTCCCCCAAAGTCTCGGAACAGTTACTCAAGCTTGATGAACAAGGGGTAAGTCATTCACGAGGTTTGTTTTTCTATCTCTAGGTTTTTCAGACTCCCTTCTCTCTTCCCTCCCCCCTCCTGGCTCCTCCTAAATATTTTTTTTCATTTTAATATATGAATACACTGCCATCACAGTCTAGGACACCAACTGTTGCAGGGGGACATACGTCCCTTCATACAGAATGTTGGGAGATCAGCCAGTTGTTTCCACTGTTGAGAATGTGGTTAGTGCCTTGAAGTACTGATCTTATTGATTTACTTTCTTAAATTCATTCATTAAATTTTTGCCCACTATGTATAAGGAAGTGTGTTGGAGAGGAATGGGAAAATTAATGACAGTGCCAAACACTGATCTCAGGAAGCTGATGCAAACGCACACATTTAATTTGGTGAACAGTATAGACGCTCATCTGTGATGTACAGTATTACCATGCTAGGTGCTGAGACTGCAAAGACAAAAATACAATGGTCTTTTTTTCTCCCTCCATGAATTTAGGCGGTGCATGGTATAGAGAACAGAAACTGGACTTAGGAAGACCTGAGTTTGACTCTTGCCTGACACTTACTAACTGTGTGATCCTGGACAAGCCACTTAATCCCTCTCAGCCTTAATTTCCTAATCTGTAAAATGTGTATAATAATAGTACCTCCCTCCTAGAGTTGTTGTGAGGACAAAATGAGATAATATTTGTAAAATACTTTCTAACTAAAATGCTTATACCTAATGCTAGGTACCACTATCGTTGTTGTTGTTTTCAGTTCTATAAAAGCATGAATATATTTAAATAGGCGTTCATTTGAGGAAGAGGCCCTATCCAAGCTAGTGAGGTTGAAGAAGATTTCGTGTGTCCATACATGTAGGAGAATAGAGGATGCAGAGGCTAGAGAGGCCTTCTGGTGACCCTGCAGGGTGGTCAAGGCCAGAATCTGTCAGAATCTGCCCTTGGTTCTGGGGCTGCAGGGAACTCAAAGGAGCCATGAAAAAGAAAGCCAAAGCATTGAAACTAAAAAGGGGAAGGTAGGCTTAAGATTAAGCATTCAGTGGTAGTCAGAAGGAATGAAGAGACTGGAAGCCAGTCAGGAAGCTTTTGTAATAGTTCCTGGGAGAGGTAAAGAGAGCCTAGATTGGTGATAGTGAGAAAGGAGAGGTGGCTGGTTTCAATGTCCCAGACTAGGCACCTTATATATCTGAAGTATTAGCCTAAGTATTCAAGATATTTTTAATTATTTGTCTTCTTTTTGTAAAATTTATGCAGCATAAAAGATTACAGTGGTATTTTGAGAATTTCTATGAGAGGATAAACAAGTAATGTTACTTATGCACTTTCATGTTAGAATAAGTCATATTCATGATTTGACACTCCTTTATTCATGTGTGGTACAGTAGAGCTAATTTTGGGACCACAGAATGTTTGGTGTTTTAAATGGGCTGAATTTCTAAAACTGATTATTCTAATTGGACTAACGAGTTAACAATTTAGCATGAGCAAACTAGATGCAGGCACCTTAAGATTCAGAGTGAATCAACACTGTGATCTGTTGAGGTCAAGAAGGTAACTTAGCTTTCAAAAACAAACCTATTTGTTACTCAAACACTGAAGGACTACTTTAGATGAGTATCTGAGTGCCTTATAAATACTGCTATTAGAGAACTTTATTGTTATTTCTTTTTCTTGTTTCTCTGCCATTGTTAATCATCTAAATTGTACAAAACTTCCATGAAACAATTGAGTGAAGTATTTTAACAAAGTGGGAATAATGAAATATGTTTCCCTTTTGTCCGACATGTGCATAAGTCTGAAACAGTCTTTTAGGACATTGTTGAATATAATTTGATGTCTCAGGAGAAGCTATGTACAGTACTTAAGGTTTGTATCTTAGATTCTGTGTCCCATTTTTCTGCCTAGCAGATTTATGCTCAGCTTTCTAAAGGCACTTTTTAAAGTGTCCAAAGTAACAGAAGCCACACTGATTTTTATGCCTCAGAGTGTGTGCTTGTGTTCTTGTTGGCTGTAGTAGCAGAGTTCTAGAGATAGTTGCACTTTCCCCATCTATGAATCATGGGGTCCCTGTGCCTCTGCTTGATATCACATGGTCTGCCCTTCAGGGTATTAAAAGCACAACATTTGACCATTTGGTCTAGTTGATTTTCTCCTTTGGAAATGAGATGTTATTGGGCTAGCTACTGCAGTAAAGAACCGAGGTTAATATCAAAAGTGGTGGGATCTTTTGTGTAGCAGCTTAGGATAAAGGTACCCAACTATTTTGTGGTGGTTAAGCACAGAAACTTTGAACTTGATAATCAAAGCATTTCTGAGGATTACTCTACTATAGCTCTAAATTCAAGGAATTATTGTTGAACATAAGGCTTAGTTTTGAAGTAGAGAAATACTACTTATTGGGTTAGATGAGTTTAATGTGCTTTTTCTTTTGAGATATTTGTAAGACTCACGTAGTATTGGCGTGAGATACTTAAAAGCCTTCTGTGTAATAATTGGTTTGTTCTTTAAGAACTTTGAAAATTTTTCTTTGCTTGAAGGTCTATGAATTTTCGTGTTCCTTGGGATGACATGATCTAGCATAGTATATCTCTGGCCAGTGCAACATGTTTTGTTTTATTTATGGAAGAAGTTTGCATGCCCTGTCCTCCCAACCCAGAATAAAACATCTACTGTCATGCCCTGTCCTCCCCACCCAGAATAAAACATCTAATGCGTCCACCTCATTCTGCTAAAAATTATGTTTATGTATATGTACCTATGTGTGTATATGTCTGCAGTATAAAATGTATTTATACCATGGTTTATCAGTTACTTTCATTTTAGTTTTTTTAAAAAAATCTACTTTAAAAGTTACTTTTAAAGATAGCTATTTAAGTTCACTACCAAAACACTAATGTACTGTTGGTAGAGTTGTAAACTGATCTCACCATTCTGGAGAGCAATTTAGAACTATGCCCAAATGGCTATAAAACTGTGCATACCCTTTCATCCAGCAATACCAGTGCTAGGTCTATATTCCAAAGACATAAAAAGATAAAAGGACCTATTTGTACAAAATTGTTTCTAGCAGCAATTCTTGCATGATGGCTAAAAAGTGGGACTCAAAAAGATGTCCATAAACTAGGGAATGGCTAAACAAGCTGTGGTATATGATTGTAATGGAAAATTATTGTTCTGTAAGAAATGACAAGCAGGATGCTTTCAGAAAAACTTGGAAAGATTTACATGAACTGATGCAACAGAACATGAACAGAGCCAGGACAACATTGTACACAGTAACAGCAATATTGTTCTATGAAGAACTGTGAATGACTGAGTTATTTTTAGCAATACAATGATCCAAGACAATCCCAAAGAATTTATGATGAAGCATACTATTTACTTCCAGAGAAAGAACTGATATTGATTGTTGTTTTTGTTATTTGTCTTTTGTTCTGGAAGAGGACCCTGGCATCAGGAAAGTGATTCCATGACTTGCAAGCGAATTGGATTTAAGTGAGGGAGGGCTGTGCAAAGCCACCAGCCTCACTTTCCCCTCCAGAGCCAGCAGGGTCCAGTGATTAGATATAAATCAAAATGACAAAAGCATGCTATTTTTCACTTTCTTTCATTTTTTTCTTTTATTCAAGTTGTCATGTACAAAACGACTAATATGGAAATGTTTTACGTAATTTCCCATGTATAACCTATATCTGATTGCTTACCATCTCAGGGAATGGGGGGAGAGAAAGGAGGGAAGAAGGGATAGAATTTGGAACTTAAAACTTTAAATAATAATATTTTAAAAAATTGGGGAAACTAAAGAAAGTACAGGGCAAAAAAAGAGAAAAGAAAGAATGGTAGCTCATACACATACAACCAAGAGGATCCTTGAAGAAAAAGAGAGATCAGGTTTTCCTAAACTATTTTCCTCAGTAGACTACATCCTGATAATATAATTGACTGAGAGATTTAGAGAATATAAGATCATGCTGTGGCTATCATTAATTGACTAAAAAGCATTTTATTCTTTAGAAGTCTGTTAGGTGGCCTTGTGGATAAGGTGCTGTATTTGGAGTCAGAAAGACTCAAGTTCTAATCTTGTCTCAGCTATGTGTTCCTGAGTGAGTCACTTAACCTCTCTTAGCCTCAGTATTCTCATCTATAAAGTGGGGATAATAGTATCACCTATCCCCAGAGGATTGTGAGGAACAAATGAGATGATATATGTGAAGTGCTTTGCAAAACTGAATGCCAGATAAATGCTAGCTGCTGTTGCCTGCTACAGGCTGAGGGCCAAATTAGTGAGAATTAGGAATCCCATGAAGTGGTAGAATGTATTCGAATTGCAGTTAAAATTATATAAACTATAGCTTTAAATAATAATACAGTGTGAGTTAGAAAGAGGGTAATAATTAGTAATATAAAGTACTCTATAATAATAAAGTTAATTATAACAACATCAAAATGTGGCCTTAAAGTTTCTCCTTAGGGAAGATGTCTCTTGTACATATAGTAAACTAATGAAAGTCCATCTCAGCAAGTTAAAACAATCAGAAAGCCTCATTTTAGTCATTCACAGTGATAAAAATCAAGTGAATGAAGAATTGTTGTATTCAGATTGTGACATATATTTAGGCTGACAAAATATCAAGTGAGTGCATCAGTATGTATCTGTTGGATGAGCTCTGCAGAAAAAGAGCTGGGCACAGATAGAAGAGCAAGCAATTGGGCTTTCAATTGCGGTTGACCCTAAGGGCAACGGAAAGATAAATAGAGATTGTAAGTAGACTGAAGCATATTGCCAACTAGGGCTTTCATGGGAAGGTAGTATAAAAGAATACATGAATATATGAGCAGAAGAGGTGGGTGTTCCTGCACAATGGGAATAACAAATAGAGTGTTGCACTTTTAAGAAGAATGCTTAATTTGGGATAGAAGTTTTAAAAACCGAAAGTTTTTTTTTCCTCCTCTCTTCCTTTGTTCCCTTTCAGTAGCAAAAGCTAGATGGAGAAACTAACTTGA